TTAAACACTTTCTTTCTTTTAGTGATTTTGAAAAGGCAATTCATGCCTTTATTAGCACTAGACTAGATTATTGTAATGCAGTGTATACTGGCATTTCTCAAGCCTTATTGTCCCGATTACAGTTGGTCCAAAATGCTGCAGCTCGTCTTTTTAACTAATACACGGCACCATGAGCATATCACTCCAGTCCTTGCCTTACTATGAAAAGTAGAACATTTAGAAAGCAGAAGATGAATATGTAATTTAGTAAAGTTATGATTCTTTGTCTTCTGCTTCATGCAGCTTCAAATGCTTTTCTTTTATTTTTTCCACATTACTTGTGAAGATAATTACAACCACCTTGCATAGAATAATTATCAAAAAGCTTGGTAAAAACTCAGTAAGAATTAAAAAACAGGTAATGTCTTTATTATACCAAAGCCAGTTGTAATTAAAGATATTAAGCATGTTTTGATGTTATTGAGAGTTAAATATTAGATCACTTCTTAAAACATATTTGTGTTCACAAGCTTTTAACAACTTCACTGATTGATGCGTTTGTTTTGATTATGCATTCTTGCTGTTATTGTTTTATTGTGTAAATGTGTTTTTATCTGGTTTTATTCATTTTTATGTTTTACTGTAAAGCATCTTTATGTTTTTCTGGAAAGCACCTTGTATCACGTTTAGAAAGGTGCTATATAAATAACCTTTGCTTCCTTACCTCAGAACTGTGCATGAACTGTGCACAAGCTGTTAATTTCTGACTGAAGCTGCAGTTTCCCACAGAATTGCAGCGGTAGCTCAGGGGGTGAGGGGTGCCATGCTTAAAAAAAATGATGTGTATAATAATATTATAGTGCAGTTCATCTGACCTGTCCCTCCTGCACTAGCCCTCCCACAGCAGCAGTGTGTCGGCTGCTGCCCTCCTCCTACATCTCTCACTTCCTGACCCTCTGCTTCAGCAGCACTGGTTGGAACCAATGAATATCTCAGTTGGATCACTCTTCATACTGATCAGTGTTTCCCCGTGTGTTTTTTGACATCCCCCTGGACTGAGGTAGCAAACGTTCAGCGTCACAGATCAGGAACTAGCATCAACTTTTGCACAACAGTCCGTACACATCCATGCTATTCACAGCGTGCTGACCTCGGCAGCAGCTGTATTCTAACGTTAGCCTAGCTAGCCTTACTAGCTTGCTAATAACTTATTAGAAGAGTTGGAGCTCTGCTATTGACAGCGTTATATTATAGAAACAAACACAGAGATGGAGCTGTCTAGAGAGAAACAGAGCGGTACACGGAGGGACAGTGAATACATGCGCTACGCATGGCCCTGCGCTGAAATGAGATTTAACCTATTTTAAATTAATATGTGGCGGTTAGTGTTGTGGTGGTCCGCCTCAAATAAATCACTGTGAGCTATGTGTGACCAATAACTACTATGTTGTTCTGTATTTGTTGTGAGTTAATGTGTGTGTATTCTGTGTATTTGTGCACATCAGGGGGAGCAGATCATCCTGAACAGGAAGAAGAAGTTTGGGAGTTTCAGGTCAAGAGACTTTAACTGTGACTTCAAGTTTGGAGAGAAAGACAGGCTGGACCATGACGACGACTGGGCGATGGCTGATGTTATCCAACAGCTCAAGAACAAGGTTAGAGAACCACAACCTGCAGCAGACCGATGTTCTCTTGGCTCTGCAGCCGAAGCAGGCAGACCAGTAAATGCCAACAGTGACCTTTACCTTCACTTCCCATCAGATGATTAATCATAAATCCACAGTGTGCTAACTGTTCAGGAGATTGTTGTAATTACTGATTGTTCCAGAAGCAACACACAAACCAATAACAATGTGACTATGTATTAAAATAATGAACAGCAGTTGCTGGTTGTTGTCACGTTCTACACCCTCTGATGATGTTCTGTTGATTTTCTTTACCGATATTTGCCCTGAACATCCTTTTCACTGCATCTTCCCCCACATGACCACATACAGTCCCAAAGTAGTGAAATTAATTCCAACAGGTCGCGTAGCTCCAACAATAACATCATGGGTCGTTAATCCGCGGGTTAACCAGCAACACATCACATGTTGCAGACACACTGGCCTCAAGCAGTGAAAACAAACAGGTACTGTGCTCCAGGGGAATCCAGCATTGATCAGCTGATCATTCACCACCGCCTGGGCTTCACAGTCCGGCTGCAGTCCGGTAAAACGGCGAGTCCCTGTACAAACAGGTACATTCCCGGACATGCAGTAAGCTCAGGCCCGGGATTTGTCTCCACACCCTCTAATCATACGCATGTAAACAGTGAGCTATTAGCCTAGCCATGTTCAGACTAAGTTTCAAAGGTGTGATAAAGTGCATTCATCTCTATGGGGGATTACGTTCACGGCACCGCAGGGGGCTTTGGAGAAAAGATGCAACTTCTTGCAGTGAAAAGTTGGATCTGGTTCAACTTTTGCTGCACTGGAAGGTGACATCTTCCAGCAAAGGCGCTGTATTGACCAATCGCTTATGGGGTACAATCAGGGAAGTGGACGCCCACGGGAAGAAGACTCTTTTGTTTACCTTGTTAGCATGAGCATTCACTGCTATTCACTGTTGAATTTGGGCCACAGGTAATGCACAATAACGATACACTGTGTGTTTTCATTAGTACTGGATGTTAAGTGGGGTTTTTATCCATCAGTGCCAACACACTGGTGGTAGAACTGGTGCTAAGGTAGAGTCAGCTACGTTAGCAGCATGGCTAACCAAAACACAAGGTAAACTCATGGGCTGGAAACATGAATGAAGCCACTCACATCGACTCATCCCTTTGTCGTGCACGCATACAACACTCCCCTTGCACTCCCTCATCAGCTGACCAACGCACCCCCTTGCATTAAAACAGCAGGGAGTTGCCTTTTTGCCAGATCGGAGTGAATGTATGTAAGGAGCTGAGCAGTTAACACAGTAGTGGATGTGGCAAAGCAGAAATTATCAGTGGTCTGTATGTTCATTTAGTGGGTGTTCTGTCTGGCTTTTTACTGGTGGAGGTTTAACTGCACATTCATTACAGAGCAGAGGTGTGGCAGCCTCAGGTAATACGTTTCACCTGCTCCCCGCTCTTCACTCTGTGCTCCATGAAGAGTGCAGCACGACTCTGTCCAACACAGAGAGAAGCTGCTCAACAATCACCAAAACCATATTTCTGATCCACTAGTCTCACTCAGTGGTCTCTTCGATTAGCCTACTCTACGTGCTCCCTGTTCTTACAAACGCTGTAGAGCCTGCATATATAACAATGTCTGGGGGGGAAGGTTACGTGAGCAGCAGTCACAGAGATGCAACTCGGGCAGTGATGGCACACAGGCGAGTGCTCAGTCGTGTTTTGGCTCTGTACGCTGTCCATTTGTTATATATCAACCATGGTCTGTGTTTGCAGAGAACAGTGACAACTCTGGATCAGAAAATAGAGAAAATCAGAAAGAGGAGGAGATGTGAGGTGAGTCCACTGCTCAGGTTTTACTTCCTAATTGGTCATGTTCTCCTTCCTGTGTTTAAGGTGGAGTTTGTTTTGATTTACAGGAGAAATCGGCTCAGGGTGACACTGCTGAAGACTCTGGAGGGAAGAACCACGATGAAGAAGATGAAAAGCAGGATGTGAAGCCTGCTGCAGGAGAGCCTGATGGACGTGATGATGACGATGAGGAGTTTGACTCCAGTGATGAGGAGATTCTGACCAAATCAGGTGAGTCAGGTGGTGAATTGTATTTTGAAGTTTGACAGGAAGCAGAAACATTTGACTTGTGTTGATCCATTTGTTTTAATAATCTCATAGCCCTTAAGACAGGGGTGTCAAACTCAATGGCACATGGGGCCAAAACTCAAAGCACACTTCAGGTCGCGGGCCGAACAGGATAAACATTTATTGAACAGACTAAAACTAAACGTTTTTTGAACATAAATATCAATCTAAACAACTAGGATACAATATTATTCCAAAATAAATAAACTTAAAATCAGCAACCCTATTTCTGCTAAGGCTTACATTTACAAACACCTGCTTTTTGTCTGGACACAAGACGTCGCACACTTTCATCATGCAGCTCTTCAGAAACTCTCCCTCGGTAAATGTCCGGGCTGATTTTCTCCTCTGCCACAATAAAACTTCTTTCACAGCAGCTTCACTGTGTGATTTAGCTTTGGTGAAAACGTCTGCTGTGATGTCAGATTCCTCTTCAACTCCTCTACCTTCTGTAGCTTCTGCTCTGCATTCACGTTTTTCAGCTTGTCCTGATGTTTTGTCTCGTAGTGCCGTCTTAGGTTATATTCCTTAATTACAGCCACATTAGCTCCACAAATAAGACACATGGGTTTACCGACAACGTCAGTAAACATATACTCAACCTCCCACCGGTTTAGAAAGGCTCAGAATCAACTCTTCTCTTGGCCATTGTTTGGGGCTAGCTTTGACTTGAAATTAGGGTTGTATACATCAACCGACGCTTGATTGATCTGATGTAATTGACACGGGAATGATGGCAGGTTGCCTATCGTTCAGTAAGACAGCTGTTGAGCTGCATTATGGGATTTGTAGTTTGTGTGTTATCGGCACTTCATTCGCAGGGCCATTAAAAAAAGATATATAAAATGATCTCGTGGGCCGGATGTGGCCCGCGGCCCTTGAGTTTGACACATGTGCCTTAAGATCTCGTGGGCCGGATGTGGCCCGCGGCCCTTGAGTTTGACACATGTGCCTTAAGATGTCATTTAATTCTGAACAGAAGTCCCATCTAGGAGTTTAAGTTAGAGTTGAAACTAGGGATGCACCGCTACCACTTTTTTCAGACCAAGTAGGAGTACTAACATTGGAGTACCGATATGCAATACTACGCAGTGTTTTTACTATAGGAATTACAACTACCACAAAAGTACAGTGACATTATAGACTGTTTTCATTTTCCTAAGATTTTTCTATGCTTAAATAAATAACAGGAAGCTGTGTGAGTGAACTTAGAACTTCCCGTGTATACAAACGCAGCACTGCCACCACTCCTGTTAGATACAACATGAACCTGTCAACATTGCTGTAGCTATACATGTTGTCATACAGTGGGTTTTAATCTTTTAGTACTGCAGCCCTCTTGGGATGAAATTATTTGGTGATCCCACATAGGACACCAGAAAAAGCTCATACTGTCACAGTCAGCATTTTAAAATTTGTAATTAAAATTGGGTGCATGTTGACCTGCAGCCTTTGCACTCGATGCACTGCTGTAAAGGAGCTACTCGGTCTCTGCCTCCAAGTCACAAGGATTCGGCTCCTTTTCATACACAGAACTCATTAGACTCTGCTGTTAGCTACATCAAAGTGGCATTTGTTTTCTTCTCATTTACAACAATTAACAGGACGAGCGCCGTGTGGGTTGACTGTGTTAACACACACCAGGGGAGTCGACCGCGGGCAGAGTTCGAAGCATTTTGTTATTTTCCTGCTTGTTCAAGTTTGGCAGACTGCTTGTACCCTCTCCATTATAGGCAGTGTTGCCGCCCATATCGAGCGTTGTCGTCATCTTGTCCCGGTGTGCGCACAGTGCACACCGTGTGTCTGTGAGCACCCATCCCTCAGACACACAGAGCAGAGAGCTCGCTAATCGCTTTTCTTCTCCACCACCTAACGACCAGCTCACCCAGCATGAGGTTTAAGTAAATGTCACCATTAAGCGGTATCAGTGCGTAGTATCAGACAACTTGAATCAGCACGAGTACTAGAGAGCGGTATTGGACCTGATACCAAATACTGGTATCGGTATCAGGACATTCTTATTTAAAATGCTAAAAAATGTGACTGAAGTTGTTGACTTCCTGTTTCCTGTCAGACACCTTGAGAGAGAAAGAACGACAGGGGAGGAAGATGAAGATGGGAGAGGAGGTGAGGAACAGGAACTGATGTCACTGGTTCAGGTACCTGGTCACCATGGTAACAAGTGTGTTTGTGTTCAGGCTGCAGAGTCCTTCTATGAAGATGCGTCTCAGTACAACGATCAGCTGACCTTTGAAGACATGAACCTGTCCAGACCCATCCTGAAGGTAAAACTGCAGTGTCTCTTAAATCCAGTACCTCAGTGACCTCTTCCAGCTCTGCCTCTTTTGTGGAGATGATGCAGGCTGAGTCTGACCTGCAACCCTAGAGCACCAGGTGTTCAGCAGTAGCTCCCCTCCCATGGCCCTGGTTTCATTGTTCTTGTGGTTTGAGACCTCCTGCTGTGTCCCCACAGGCCATCACGGCTCTTGGCTTCAAGGAGCCGACTCCTATCCAGAAGGCCTGTGTTCCTGTTGGCCTGCTGGGTAAAGACCTCTGCGCCTGTGCTGCAACTGGAACAGGTAACACTGGTATAGTAGGACCAGTTCAGCATACTGGAACTAGACAGATTATTAAAATCATTCATCTCTTCTCCTTAGGGAAGACAGCAGCCTTCATGCTGCCAGTGCTGGAGCGTTTGGTTTATAAACCCAAGACGTCCCAGGTGACCCGGGTCCTGGTTTTAGTTCCTACCAGAGAGTTGGGGATCCAGGTTCACTCTGTCGCCCGTCAGCTCGCCCAGTTCACCTCCATCACCACCTGCCTGGCTGTTGGTATGACTGGTTATGGACTGGTTACTCATTACTGACAGACTGACAGTTCTTTGACTGTCTGTATTTGTTAAACTGTTAAGAGTCTATGTGGCTTTCTGGACTTTGAACTCCAGATTCTGGTCTTGGCCTGGTCCTCAGGTAACCTCTCTTGGTTTGTCTCCAGGTGGGTTGGACCTCAAGTCTCAGGAGGCTGCACTGAGGGCAGGGCCAGATGTCCTGATCGCTACACCTGGTCGGCTGATTGATCACCTCCACAACACGCCAAGCTTCGAGCTGACCTACATTGAGATCCTGATCCTCGATGAAGCTGACAGGTAAGCCGCTGACACCTGCAGGTGCAAGAGGTTGGAATCAACCAACAAACGGCATTGGGAAAGACTCGCCAGTTTGACCTCAGCTGTGCGGTTCTCTCTCAGGATGCTGGACGAGTACTTTGAGGAGCAGATGAAGGAGATCATCAGATTGTGTTCCTACAACAGACAGACCATGTTGTTCTCTGCCACCATGACAGATGAGGTACACATGCAAACCTGTGTCCACCGGCATGTTGGTGTGTGATCCATGTCCGTCGGCGTCAGTTTGTCGTGTGACCTCTGTCCGCAGGTGAAGGACCTGGCAGCAGTGTCATTGAAGCAGCCAATCAGGATCTTTGTTAACAGCAACACTGATGTGGCTCCATTGCTGCGACAGGAGTTCGTCAGAATCCGACCAAACAGAGAAGGAGACCGAGAGGCTGTGGTGGCTGGTAGGTACCATTAATACTGCACTACTACTGTAGTAATTCTTTTAATACCACAGTACTGATGGCTGTGTGCGCCGGTAGCTCTGCTGACTCGGACGTTCCAGGATCACGTGATGTTATTCACTCAGACAAGAAAACAAGCTCACAGGCTGCACATCCTGCTGGGACTGTTAGGCCTGAAGGCTGGAGAACTGCATGGAGAACTGAGCCAGAACCAGAGACTGGAGAACCTCAGGTACACAAACAGAATATGTCCCCCTAACCTGATCATTTGAAATAAATATTTACCCTTGACCTTCTCCTTGTGCTCTGCAGGCGTTTTAAAGATGAACAGATTGATATCTTGGTGGCGACGGATGTAGCGGCCAGAGGTCTGGACATCGATGGTGTCAAAACTGTGAGAGTCACTTCCTCGTAGTAGTACAGCAGGAGAACCTTAAAGTTACTACTGCGTTACTATGAAAAGTTACTGTAGAGTGAGTACAAGGCTACTCCAGTATAAATAAAGCATTACTGTAACGTTCCTCTGCGTGAGGTTACCCTAGGATTACTATGGATTGTAGTTTCAAGAGCCACTGTGATTGTAACTGCAGTGTTACTGTAGCGTTGTTAAACAGTTATGTATTATTAATTTTTTTTACAGGGGTCAGTGTTGGAGAACTACTGTTACTAAGATCACTGCAGCAACAGATATTGTAGCTGTAAACATTACTACTAGTACTGCAGTACTCGTACTGACTGTGCATTCTGTTACTGAATTCAGATTTGAACAAAGTTGCGGTTTCCTGATCAATCCTGTGAAGACAGTCTCGCTTACCTGGCCTCTATCGGTCTGTCTCCCAGGTGATAAACTTCACCATGCCGTCCACAGTCAAGCATTACGTCCACCGCGTCGGCCGCACGGCGAGGGCCGGTCATTCAGGACGTTCGGTGTCTCTGGTTGGAGAGTCAGAAAGGAAGATGCTGAAGGAGGTTGTGAAGTCGGCCAAGAACAGTGTGAAGGCCCGAGTCCTGCCACCAGGTATGCACATGAAGGAGAAGGAGATAGGGTGAGAAAGAGGGTAGTGTGCCTGTGAGTAGTTCAAGGAACCCAGGAGAGATGAGTTCTGAGCAGCAAGAAGGTAACAGCAGCGAGATGTTTTCTGGTAAACCTGAACAAAAACTGTAAAAGCACATTGGTGGTTGTAGTTTTCCACAGGTGTGCTATGACTACTCTCTCTCTCCCCCCTCTCTCCTTGTCTGTCACCCAGAGGTCATCCTGAAGTTCAGAGATCTGATCTCTAAACTGGAGAAAGATGTTGAGGCTGTAATGAAGCTGGAGAGAGAGGAGAGAGAACTGGCTGCATCTGAGGCCAAGGTACACATGAGCACGTGTACACAGTACTGCTTTGACAATGTAGAACAACAAACGCCTGGTGTCCACAGCTGTCGGCCGAGCAGAATCAAGAATTCCCACCTCCACATACAGAGCAGAGACCTGTTAGAAAATATTCTTTAATAAAAAGCTACAAGAAGCCTGTGGCCATAAAAACCAAAGGAGAGACTATGACTCCCAGGATGCATTTCACTAAAATGACTACAAATTATTGTAATGTAATTCACTTCACATAAATCTCCACTCAGTAATTCATAATGCCAAAGTGAAACTGTGTTTTTAGAAATTAAGGCAAACTTCTTAACCATCAAAAACTGAACTCGGAGTTGAAAAGCTGCTAAAGACAAACACCAACAGAGAAACAATGAAACCGGAGGTTTAAAGACTTCATGATTTTTCATTTCACTGTCTCACTGCGTTTGTAGTTGAGTGTGGCTCAGAAGCGCCTCGATGGCACCGCCTCCTCCTCCCAGTCACAGAGAGTTTGGTTCCAAACTCAACAAGAGAGAAAACAGAGTCGAAGTGAGTACTAATACACTCTGTAGTACTCCACTGTCGGCAGTACTCTGCTGTAGTATTTTAATCCCTGGTCTTCATCTTGCCAGTGTCGAAGGCTCTGCAGGAGTTTGATCTTGCACTGAGAGGGAAGAAGAAGAGAGAAAAATTTGTGAAGGACGGCAAGAAGAAGGAGTTGACGGTAACGACTCATTAGATATGTGAGAGAAACCGAACAATCACTTACCTCTCAGTGGGACAGAGCAGGTGTGTCTGTCATTCCTCCTGATTTAGACAAGTGAGAGCTTCCATTAATTTCAGCCTTTTTAGTCCAAAACGTTCAGTTTTTGCTGCAGCTCAATTAAACATGGAGGGGGAATGTTTCTCCAATGCATCTGACTCCGCGTCAGTTCACGTGTAGGTCGGTTCAGTTGTGGCGAGGGACTGACACCATTACTTAAATCCTACCCCACAAGTTAAAGATATTTGTTTTTTAAAAAGTCAGTAGCAGCTCGGTCTATTTTTATTCTCTCTCACTTTACCTGAATGCAGCACAGCATCAGTGTTTTTACAACAGATGGAAATTAGCTATTAGCTAACTCTGGCGTGAGACATCTCATTATTTTATTAGATATTTTAAATCTGGTTTCTGATAAGTAAACATTAAAGAGTTTTAGCATTTGACTAATGTTTAATGTGAATCGTCTGATCTTTGGTCTCCTGAAGGTCAGTGAGTACTGAAACGTTACTATCTTTGTCTGTCCCCTCATCTTCCTCAGTCTGAGGAGCGCACTCAGTTTGAGATTTTGAAGGCTCAGATGTTTGCTGAGCGGGCGGCCAAGCGAGAGAGACGACCAAAGAGAGCAAGAGCGATGCCCGAGGATGAGACACCGATTGCAGGTCACAAACACTAAAACGTGCTGACAAATACAAGCACAGGCTGAGACACACAAACATGTCAAAGTGCCACTAAACTGGACTGTCTCTGTGCAGCAGCCAATCAGAAGGCAGGGAAAGGAGGCAGGAAGTCCGTGTTTGACAAAGAGCTGACCAACACCAGCAGCAAGGCTCTGAAGCACTACAGAGCTGGGTGAGACTGTCTGTCTGTGCGCCTGTTCTGTGTCTGTCTCTGGGCCTGTCTCACACACCCGTCTTGTTACAGACCCTCTTTTGCTGACAGGAAGCGGCTTGGTTTGGACAGG